CTTCATGTCAACATTGTGTTCTACAATGGAAATATCATGCAGGAAATACATGGGGAAAAGATCAAAAAGGAAGAAAATGTTTAGGTTGTGCTGATCAACAAGAAGAATTTTATAATTGTGCAGATATTGCAATTGTTGAACGATCAGGAAATGAATTGAGTACACCAGTTAATAAGGATAATAGCACAATAGCGAGTGATAGTAATAAAATGCAATGTTTTTCTCTACAATTTCTTCTGTTATATATATCTTCTTGTTTTCTTTCGATGTATAAATTCTAATGATAAATGTTTATATACAAATATGGACGAAAGATTTTCCAAATTTTATGGACTATTGATGTTTTTTTTAAATAATTTAAATAAAAGAATTTTATGGCAAACTAAATATAGCGTTGAATTTCATATATTTATGCAGTTAGAATTATACTCAGATCCGTTTGAAGTATTTCGATTGAAAATAATGAATTTAATTTTTTGCTTTAGAGTATTTTCATATTTCCTATCTTTACAGAAACATGTAACAAGTTATGATAAATGAATGTTTCATTCCTTGTTTTGATAGGGTTTATACTTGAATATTTAATAAAAACACAACATTGTAAATAATCATCAAGTGTTTAATATAACAAAAAGAAATGATTTTTGTTTTACTTTAATTAGTCTACATGATGTTGACCAAATACTTTAACCTTTGTACTCAGACAAATGATTACTGTTGTCATACCTGCTCTGAAAAAATATTTGTTCGTATTTTTCTTGTTTGAAACGTTATCTACGTAAGTACATGATGATAGTTTAGTATTACTGTTGCATATGTAAGCTATATTGACTACTCGAATAAATCATTGATTGCTAATAAAATGATTTTAGTTAAGGGATTATTATATTGTTGTATTAATTATCAAATTCAACAGTCTCTAAATATCAACTAAAAGAAATAAGTTGATTAGTCATTTACATATAAAGCAGTACCATTTTCATCAAAGTTCTTTAGTTGTTTATATTTATGCAATGAGTGTATAATTGACATCTTTATTCATAATGGCGCATATTGAGCAATAATTATGTCATCAGTTCTCTTTCGGTAATATGTAACATCCAATTAGTATCAACTGCCCTATTATATATCAATGAATAAGTATAAGAAGATAGATAACTGACATTCTTACTCAACTTTATTGCCTAAATTCATCAGAATTGATTTATTACTCAAGTTTGAAAATAATATTATTGAAAATGTAACCATTGTAGTATGTCAAATAATGTATTTAATGTACGATAGAAATACAAGACATAATAAGACTATTGAATATCTTTATTATTATTGTATAATATTACTCATTTAGAACAATTTAAAGTAAGATCATATCGATGAATGTTTGATTGAAATAAGAGTTATATTTGTTATAGAACATTTATGTTAATCAGAAACTCAATAAAATTATATGAGATTATTATGTATAGCAAAATATACCAGCAATTCAACATATTTTAGCATATTCTGTAAGTAAGAAGATATTGTTCGCAAGTCAACAACAGTAGCATTCTATATGACAACACTATTCGAATATATTGAAGAAAAGAAAACAGATGCCTCGGGAAAACTATAAAGAAGAGAACAGCTGCCATTATTGTTTATCCTGATCGCATACTATTGTTATAGTGACGATAGCTGATGATGACAATAATCAATGACATAACACGTAATATTATAGAAAAAAGATATAATCAGTTCCAATGAGACATTTTGTTGTATATGTGTTTGTTCATGAAAACTTTAACATGAAAAAAATATCTTACGCAGTTTCAATCTATTTATTTGTTTCTAGTACACATCTTCTTGTCATTATGTTTGTCAATCTCTAATAATGTGACATCCTCAATAACTAGAACAAAGCGTAGTTGAGAACATGATAACACAAGAAATAAGAGATTTCTTTCGTTAAAAATGACAAAAATCATCTGTCATCATTGTAAACAATGTCAAAGATGTACAAATACTTCGATATCAGCTGTTAAAAATAGAAAAATATTAATTTTTATAGCATCGATCAAATCATTGAAGCAAGACTGTACTACTAATACATAATATAACTTCCTCTGTAACTATAAATATGAATTGAATATTTTTTATTTATTTTCTTTTGATTAAGTTTTCGAAAATATTTACTCATTTATGAATATCGTTTTTTCAAAGTTTATTATCTTTGCACGTATTATCTCTTTATGACATCACTTCATCTATCATTTTCCAAATATAGTAACATACAATTCTAGCAAGGACAAAATGTGATATTTCTTATAAAGAACTAATATTATCCTTGTCGTATTTTTCTGTCTCTTTTTTTCTCTCTTTTCTTCGTTTCTACGCCTACTTTATACATATCTTTGTTGGTAATATTTAGATAATTATTTGTCGCTACACATTGGTATTACTTCCTTGCTCTATTACGATCATTTCTATTTGGTACATATATTTAGATTAAAGAAAAATGGCTAACTATGGACCTGCATATGGAACACTAGCTGAAAATCAAGCAAAGGTAAGAAAATTGTTTTGTACCTTTTCTCTGTAACTTATCTAGATCTAATAGATATGAAAATATTATATTCTTCTACAATAATAATAATAACTGATGAATGTAATATTACTATCATCGTTAGTTAATGTATATACACATGAACAGATTATTTCTGAATTAGTTGATAGTACTGATTTTCGCTATATCATTTTTTTCAGTAAAAAGAAGTAAATAAGAAACATATCATTATACAATAGTTGTTTTTATTATAACTTTCTTTTATCGATTGAAACTATTTAGATTGCTGGAAAACGTAGTGTAGATCTTGATCGTGAAGCTCAACAATGGATTGAAGAAGTTACTGGAGAAAAATTTCCAAGTGGTTCTTATGAAGATGCACTTAAAGATGGTATACTTTTATGCAAGTATGTTTTATTTTTTTCTATAAATTAATTATATATATACAATATAACGATGATAGATTAATCAATAAACTTCAACCTGGTTCAGTTGGAAAGATTTGTACATCTGGTGGTGGTTTTAAATTACGTGAAAATGTATCTGCTTTTCGTAAGTATTTATTATTAAATTAACAAAATATATATTTATTTATTTATTTGATTTATCAATAGAAACTGCAGCTCGTGCTTATGGTTTACCTGATTCTGAACTATTTCAAACAGTAGATCTTTTTGAAAAACGTAATATTCCTCAAGTAACACAATGTATTCATGCACTTGGTCGACATGTAATTGATATAAATTTGAAAGTATCATGAATCTAATTTTAATTTATTCTTAGGCACAGAAAAAGAAATTTAATGGACCAGTACTTGGTCCAAAAATGTCCGATTCTAATCAACGTGATTTTACTGACGAACAATTACGTGCTGGTCAAGGTATGGTTGGTTTACTTAATGATGGCATGAACAAAGGTGCAAGTCAAGCTGGTCAAAATTTTGGTTTATCACGTCATATATAATATTAGAAGGTTGAATATAAATAATGACAATATCTTTTCTTTTCTTTTCATTTTATTAATATGATTATAATTCTGCAAAGTATAAAAATACACTATCTTTATATTTATGTATTTCATTATAAATATATCTCAACAGTTAAATAAATAATTCTAAATATTGATTTATTATGTATATTTGAGTACTTCTGACAAAAACAGAAACTATGAACTCATATGGTATTGACGTCATATATGCTCTTTTTGCATATGATATATAAGCTAAGTTTATCTACATGCTTCATAAACCAATTACGATTCTTTTCCTTGCCATACTTTTGACCTTGTTTACATTTACTTACACAAAGATTATTAGTTTCTATAGATATACATGCCACCTTTTGACATTTAGGAATAGCAATGAAAAGTATCTCTTCTACAAAAGCTTTATATTTAAAGTAATGTGAAATATTTCTTTGAACACATATAGTAAGACAAACAAGTAATCATAGGAAATCTGTTTGTATTCAGTCGTTATCTTTTATAGGAATGTTTGATGCAAATCTATTCAGCAGCCTGTTCTTACAGAATATTTAACTGCTATTGTCCTTGATTCTAAACATTAATTAACAGCAAGATAAAGACAATAGTAATCTTTCATTACTGATTGAGTTTACATATGAAACATATCTAATACGGATGAATAAATTTGCGCATTTATGTACCATTAGGAAACATTTCGTTAATACGACCAAATCGTCAAGTATTTGTAGTCTTCACAATATACTATTGACCCAGTTGCTTTCTTTCATGTATCATTCGATTAAATATCTTCGAAATAATAACTAAAATCTGTCAACAAAGAATAGCACATGAATATTATCTTAAGATTTGATAGGTATTGATATAAGATAATTACTCGAATAGCATCATATTCAACAAATCTTTAAAAACAATTTTCTTTTAAAACTATATCTGGCTCGTAATAATTTTGTTCACATAGTATACTAGAATAAACATTCTATTGTCTAATTGAATAGTTAAGCAATATTAAATAATTCGTTTACGTATTCAAATTATAATCAAAAAAAATCATATTTAATTTTTGTATCTGTATGTATATTTATATTTGGAAAAAACAAAACAACAAACACTATGATTAAATGTTTTATAGACAAATTAAAAAAAAAAGAGAAAAAAGAAAAGAAAATCTTATGAAGTTGAATGTTGATAGTATGGTGACGGAAATGTGTAAGGTGATGAATAACGACTTGCAGCAGCTGCTGCTAATGTGAATGGATTGGTTGAAGAAGTTGGTCCCATTGGTGAATAGGTAAATGGATATGTTGGAGTAAATCGAGAATAGGGCGATGCATATAAATTTGGATCATAAAAATGTGTTTGAGAAGAATGAAATTGATGTTCATAGGAATCTGTAAATGGAGTGGTTGAATCAGGAACATCAACTGTACTACTTGTAGGTACAACACGTGATGGAGGTGTTTGATCTTCTTCTCCAGAACTTGATTTACGTCGTTTTGATGATTCTGGTGTTGTATATAGATCTTAAGAAAAATGAAAGTAGTTGTAAAAAATAATTTAAATTAGAAAAATATAATCTATACCATCACATTTAAGTCTTCGTTCATAACCATTTTCAATATGTCGTTTGACTGATTTTGTATCTCTATTAATAATAAACAATATTTATTCGATTATCTAATTCTATTATTTAATACATACTTTCGACTTGCATGGCCATTATTTTCACGAAAACCTTTTGCAAACTAGAAGAATAAATTAAAATAATATTTCTTTTTTT